GCGGGCTGCCCACTGCGAGTGTTCCAGCCACGGCAGGGCGTCGACGACACACGTCCAGGGTTCTGACGGTCTTACCGGCTGGCGTGCGCGGCGCAGGCCAGATGACGACCTCATGGATGACGCTTATGACACTCCATGACGGCTTCATGGATGACACTCTCCAGGAGTATCCCAAGATCGTCGCAGGTTTCGTCGCAGAGGGGTTGCTGAAGGGCGAGACGCTCTTGCTGTAAGCCAGGCAACAAATCACAGAATACGATACGCCCTGGGTGTTGCCTGTGAAGCTTCGCAGAACAATGCCCTTACTTTCTTGTCCCCATTGCCCAAAGCCTAGACCAATCCGCTTGATAGCCGTGCTTGGAAAGTCATCGGGATGACGCAGCCTAACCAGTGTCACGTATGTCACGTATTTCAGCTCTCTGGTTGCAGCATAGGCCCTAGAAGAGGTTAGTACGCCATGGCCATACTTACGTATGACAATGCTCAGTCCATACATTTTCGGCAGACAAAGCGAAAAGTATGAATATTTCAGCTTTCTGGCTGCATTGTGGCTTAAGCCTCGTCTTCTCGAACTAAGATGTTCTGGCCGAACGCTAGAAACAGCCAAAGAAGAAAAACACTGCTGCATGTGGACTCACTGCAACAGGTAACTTCATTGATTCCGGAGAATTACAGATGAAGCGTCACATTCCCAGGCAAAATTAGTGAAAAAACAGTATATAGTCATCATATTTCATCTACATACAGCATGCATCAAGTTGAAACATTCAAAGGACATAGTACCGAGTTTTTGACAGCCCATCTCTCAAGCTGAGTGCTTCCAGTCATCATCTACGGCAGCTCAGGCAAACGCGTGCTATATCGGTGTTTCCGGTGACAGGTGTATTGGATTCATTCACGCTCTGTTTGTTCCCGATGCGTGACTGTGCAAAAAGCCGCGTCACAAACACCAGCCCGCCAGAATAGACATCAGGACCGTGCAGCGGCAGGTCCGCACGATGACACGTATCAACGGCGCCACGCCACCGACTTCCGGCACTTATAAGGCGGCGGGGGCATTCCCCATCGCCCGTTTCATAATGGCTACACGGAACGCAAAGGAAGTTGCGTAAAGCAAACTGGTCAAGATCCTGCCGTGTCTCTCCTTTTCATACCTGCAAAAGTTCCTCCTCGGACCGCAGTTGACCATTGAGGCACCAGCCCGGTCACCGAGGTCAGCTGTCGCCGCCTGGCGCCGCGTCTGACGGGCGCGGGTGGGCCCGGCGCCGCGCGGCGCCGCGCCGCGCCGGCCGCCGCCCGGCACCGGGGTCGTCGCGCCGCGCGGCCGGGCGGCGCTGCCGACTCGCGGCTGCCGAGGCGCGGCCGGCCGGAAGCGGGGCCCGACCCGCTGACGGCGCGTGGGGCAGGTCAGGCGGGCAGAGCGCCGGGGGTGCTGTCGGGCGGCCGCCAGGCGCGGGACCTCCGCTTCAGCACTGCTGGAAACAGCGCGGAGTGGTGGGGAGCTGACGGTGCCAGCATGACGTTGCGTGCTCGATGTGGAGCTGTCCTGCAGGTGGTGTGCGAAGGTCCTGTACTACCTCGCTGCGAATGCGAAGGCGTGGCTGAGGAACACCAGCGCCGAGTTTTTATGTTTGTATCGCTAGGTCTTATATTACGCGATAAAGAGCGTCCCCAAAGTCGTGGAGACCCGAGAGCTGTGGGAGGGTGAGGTTTAGCATGTCCCTGATGAGAGCTCGAATTGAATTTAATTCATTCGGCTTGTTTCGCAATGAGTGCAGTAATATTGCGGGGTTAGAAATAAACGAAGTCTCCAATTTTACCACATTCTCTGAAATACGGAACACAAGTGTCGTAGCTCGATGTTCTTTCCCAAGACTTGCCCCCTTACCTGACTACTATTCGGCGTCCATGCCGAATCCGCCATCTCAAAGGGTCTCTCTTTTTCCAAGCAAAAGCTTTGAAGTGCTGACAAGCATTGACAACGACGCATGAATCTTAAACAAATATAACATAAAGAATATGCCAGGTGAAGGTGTGCATATACAGTGTTTTCCTTGCTACAGCCTGGGCTTTTTATGGCAGACGACCCTTGGCATGTTGGAGACAGACATGCAACGCGATGCAGACGGCCATGACAATTAAGAGATACTGGGTCTTCTTGTTATCCGGCCAAGTTACCGGGTAATACCTACGCTGCGCACAAACTAATCCAGCTTGCCAATTATATCACGGCGGTTGATCTCCAAGCTGCAGTCTTACACACGTGTGCTGTGTCGGCATCTTGTGTCGGCATCGCCGGGGCGGCTCCGTCTCGTGTGATGGCGCACGCAACGCCACCCCATGGGCAGCAGGTGGCTGCGGGCAGCCGACGCCACCACGTGGGCAGTGGGTGGTTGTGTGCAGCCAGCTTTCCGACTTTGGAATCAGGTCCAAAGCCACTTAGCAATACTTAGATAGAATGGCCCTTAGAACGTACATACGAAAGCCAAAATTTTCGCGCCTGCACTGCATCCAATTGGGCTGAAGTTTTGAGAATGTTCAAAAATGTTTGACCAGTGGAAAGTTTATCCTTGTTATTAGACATCCACCAGCAAATGCAGAAATTTCCATTTCATTTTTCTCGCAACGGCGGAAAACCACCTTTCACATCAGTCCGATAATACCTAAACCAAACCAGTGCCTCCTGCCAAGGTATGACCTTCTCCCTGAATTTCAGCACAGACATCTGTGTAGCGTCGGGTGGTGTCTGAAGCTGGCACAAAACCGCAAGCTCACGCGGCATTCGTCGGAATCCTCTTGATCGAGGAGGACGTGATGGCCGAGCGTGATATCGCGGAACAGAGGAAGCACCGTGGGCTGGGGCTTACCGTGCACAGACGACCCAGAACGGAACAAGGAAGACCAGAAAGAAGGTCGTGCTTGGTTTTGTGGCCTGCGCAAGCCGGGGTATCACATGGATTGCCTACAGATATGGTCATTGTAATGCATCGCGTAATGCTATACCTTAGATTGAGTAGATCTGATGCATCACTTCAGTACCACCGCTGAGTCTTGCGGCGAACACAGCAAGGCCATGCCGCGTGATTCTCTTCTGTGTGCGATCACTAACGCCATATCCGCTGTAAACGACGTCCAACAAGTGGGAGTGCGCCACTTCAGGCTCTAAAATCGACTGGAAGGTTCGCATCGTTCCGTGTATAGACGCGAGAACGTATGCGACTGCTGTTGGTACCGATGGCCGGAGGAGGTGTTTCACCATGGTTCAATGCCTCGCCATGGCTTGGAACGCTCGCCGGCCGGGGACCCGGAATGTGACGGCCAGCGCGGCGACGTTCGGGTCAGAGGCTCCCACCTCATCCAGGGCACGGGGTGGGCTTCATGTCTGGAAGCTAGGAGTCTCTTCTCAGTCGATAGTCCTCCATCAGTCAATCTAACAGCACTCTCTCTCCATGGCTCTACCCTCCCTCCCTCCCCCCCCCCTCTCTCTCTCTCTCTCTCTCTCTCTCTCTCTCTCTCTCTCTCTGTTTCCTCTCTCTCCCTCTCTCTCTTTCTCTCCCCGTTCTCTCTCAACTCTCTCCCTGCTCGGTCTTCGGTTCTTTCTCAGCCAACACGGTATCCCCGTCTCAAAGGTAACCAGAGTTTCCTCCCGCCCCGCCTTGGACTGGCGATTGCAAAGTTTCCTTGACCCTGCATCAAGAACTTGTACTAAATCAACATTGATTGCATGGAGCCGTGCCTGGGCTGGCATCTCAGGGGACTTCACCGGCAACAGGAAATATCAACCTCTGTGGAGTGTGCTGGAAGGTGGCACCAGCGCCGGCTCCCGTCAGAAATCGTTTGGTCTGCCCGTACCTATGGCATTTAGGTTGGTGCCGCTATCAGATTAAGAGGAATATCTCGCATCAGTAGCCCGGATCCATCCGTACCCCCGCCCCGACTGAATTCCGGGCAACGGAGTAGACGGCCAGCGCTGGCCAATCCGACTGAGGTCTGGGCAGTCGGGTGGACGGCCAGCGCTGCCCACCACGACTGAGGTCCGGGCAGTCGGGCGGACGGCCAGCGCTGCCCACTCCGACTGAGATCCGGGCAGCCGGGTGGACGGCCAGCGCAGCCCACCCCGACTCAGATCCGGGCAGTCGGGTGGACGGCCCACTCCGACTGAGGTCCGGGCAATCTGGTGGACGGCCAGCGCTGCCCACTCCGACTGAGGTCCGGGAAATCTGGTGGACAGTCAGCGCTACCCACTCCGACTGAGGTCCGGGCAGCAGGGTGGATGGCCAGCGCTGCCCTCCGCCGGGAGGCTGCGGGGAATGCTAATTGGCCGGCACTGCCGGCGACTCCAGCTGATCCCCTGCGAGAGATCGGCCCGATCCCGCCGCCGGCAAACCTGTCTCCGCATTAGGGCCTGTTACGCCCCTGCATTAGGATCTTGTTATGGCGCGGGCCGTGATGGCGGCGCCGGACTTGCTGGTAACATTCAAGAACACGGATGATTATGTGTATTGGCATCGTGAGGAACAAATGACTGAGGAGGTGGGAAACACAACGCGAGAAAATCGGCATAGCCGACACATCAAATAACGATAACGACATGCAAGGTTAAAAGCATCGCTTGAGTGGTGCCGCGAACTGGGCTGAGGAATCCATCTCGTATCGAGCTGTCGGCGAGGTGGCACGGCGTCGTCACGCTCTCTCTCCCTCTTTCTCCCTCTTTTTCTCTTCGACTATCGTGACAGCCACACATAAATAGCACAAATAGAACGGCGCTCGCAGCCGGCGAGTTCAGAGTATACAAGACACAGCCTCTGCGGTGGCGAGAAGCGGGCGGCGGTCGCCGGCCCGGAGCCGGCGACGGCGGCCCAGCGCCACCGTCTGCGTCTCGGCGCCGCCCGGGCAGCACAGCCGGCCGCGCCCTCAGCGCTGGCCGATGAGCGCCGGGGACGACGCCGTCCGCGCGTCGCCGGTGAGATCGGGTCGCCTTGCGGTGCCGCTAGTCTCGGCTAGCGTCCGGAGGCGTCCGTCTGGTCGGTGCAGGAACTCTGCTGGCTCGCATCGGAGCACTCGCTGGAGAAGGAGCCGCGCGGCAGGCCGCAGGTGGCCGCCGTCACCTCGATGCGGTGAGGCTCCGGGAACGTGAAGAGCTGCGCGTGCGGCAGCGTCGACTGCAGCAGCGCCGCCTGCACCGACGGCACTGAGTTCGACTTGCGCACGAGCGAGTATAAAAAACTGGGCGGCGCACGTTTGGCCGCCGGGAGGCGGAAGTGGTTCGTCTCGAGCGGGCTTGGCGGGATCGTGTCCATCAGCGGGAAGGCCGCGGGGTTGGTGTGCGTGCGCCGCAGCGGACGCGTCGCGGTGCCGCTTGACACGCGCAGCCCCAGCAGCCGGCGCAGCTCGCGCTGTGTCCGCCGGCTGCGGAAGCTGTAGACGAACGGCGAGACCGCGCTATTGGAGACGACCAGCAGCGCGGAGACGTGTGCCACGCTGGGTGAGAACGCCACGAACGCGCCGACCAGCTGGCACAGGAAGAACGGCAGCCAGCAGGCGAAGAACATGACAACTACCACCAGCGACACCTTGGCCGTGCGGCCCTCCTCGCGGTACATGAACAGGCTCGCGTTGGAGATCTTGTGCTTGAGGTTGTTGACGATCAAGCTGCTGGAGTTACGCAGCTGCTGCACTCGCAGTGACTGTGTCCGCACGGGCCGGCCGTTCGCCGCCATCATGGGCACGGTCAGCTCGCCCGGGTTCATGCCCAGGCTGTGGCGCCTCTGCCGCTCGCTGTTCTTGTGCGCACACAGGTAGATGCGCACGTACATCCAGACGAGCGCTGCCAGCGGCACGACGAACAGCAGCAGAGCCAGCGCCGGCGCGTACCAGCTAGCCGCCGCGCTGGCCGAGTCGTAGCGCGGGCACGCCTCCCAGTGCTTGTCGGCGGCCGGCACCAGCAGCGAGAGCCCGGTCACCAGCAGACCGGCCGCCCAGCAGCCGGCGATGGCGACCAGACTGCGCGGCTTGGTGACGATGGCGTGGTAGCGCAGCGCGTCGGTCACTGCCGCGTACCGGTCGCCGGCGACCAGCAGCGTGGCCAGCACCGACGAGCTGACGACGAATGTGGCGATGGCGTCGACGGCGTGGCAGAGCGGCGCCGACGGCGGCGGCAGGAAGAGGTCCGTCAGCAGCAGCGGCAGCAGGCCGCATGTCGACACCAGGTTGATGGCCGCCAGATTCAGCACAAAGCTGCCGGAGGCAGAGGAAGCGTTAGCGCCTGGTGGCGACGGGTGTGTGGCGTGCGGTGCGGTGCACTGACCAGCGGCGCAAAAAGCGAGGCCAGCAGACGTGCCGATCGATGTGAGCCGGATTCGCGACAGCTTGCGCCCGATCGGTTGGAATGCCGAGTATTATCAGATTACGCAGGGAGCTACGCTTCAATCGCGGCGCAGACTGGAGCTCTTACATAAACGGACAACCATCCGTCGGGCACAGATCGGATTTGTTTCGCGACAAGGAACGCCAGACGGAGTGATAAGAAAGCTCCATATCTCATCAGAGATGTCTGAGGGGTACCTGAAGAGTTGCGGAGACTCCTCAAAGCGCTGGAACGTTTGACAAGGCATGTTTGAGATGCTACTGAATTGCCTGAGCTGAACTGAGTGCTCTGGGACTCGACTGGGTAAGCCCCATGCCCCGCAGGCCACCCGGGGACGGTGTTGACAGCATAGACTCACCGGTTGGGAAGTGTTCGCATGCCGCGTCTCCTGACGAAGAGCACCACGATCAGCGAGTTGCTGATTGTGGCCACGATGAACATGGTGGCCAGGAGGAACGCGACGACGATAGTGACGCAGGCGCGTACTATGCTCACGTCGACAACAGTCAGCATGTTCTGAAAAGAAGAGAAGAGGGTTGTCAGCTCTCGGTGCACTCTTGCGATATTATCAAGACATGCTGTAGCACCAATGTCATTCAGTCATTAAGTATTTGCTCTAATTTGGGGTTTTGAAAAAGGTTACAACCTAACTTTACCTCTGGGGATTCACTCCCTGCAGTCTAAACGTCTTGCATGATGTTTAAATGGACTGAAATAAATTTCATGCATATCCAGATTAAACTAAAAATGTATTACTTTGAGATGCCACCAGATTCATGCCAACTAGTAGCTTCAGCATGGCCAAAAACAGCCCCCACTATTATAAAACACGGTCATCCGAGCGGTTTTTGCGCTGCAAATGTGTGTGTACTCGTTCCAAGGCACTCCTCTGACCTCTGATAAGTGTCACGCTTCACGCCCCCCGAGTCAGTTGATTGGGCACGCTGCAATGCTACTTCACTCAAGCAGTTTTAAGCACATACGCAGAGCATAATGATCGTGATAGTCGTTTTCGACCGTAATCCTCCAAGAGTCGCGACGAGAACCTCTCAGAGTTCTTCGAAAGTTTGGGAAACTCTATCGAAATAATGATTCATCTGGTTACAGCTCCGCAAAGCCTTCCAGACGCGGATTCCGTATCCGAGACGAACGCCACCGGCTCGCCACCGCAGTCGCCGCAATCTGCCTGGACCTGTCTGGACAGTGAGCGATGCGGCGGCTGGACGCGGCTGCCTGGGGTCGCGCGGCGAGAGCCAGCGTGAGCCCCGCGGCGGCGGCCGAGGCGCGTCTCGACAGAGCCGAGCCGAGCCGCAGCCTCTCCGACCTCGCTCGTCGATAGGATCGCGGCGGCGCCATAATGGGTGCGCCGATCCGTCACTGTCGCCGGATTTCATCGCGCTGCGTCCGTTCACTAATTTCAGTCGAACGCCAGACCCGGCACACCGTGCGGCGCCGGGCGCCCCAGACGAGTGAATTTCGGTGATCCCTGTGTGAAACTGCGTCGTGATCGCTGCGGGGATGCTTCACGTGCGGAGCGCGCTCTCGGTCCCGACTGAGCGGCTGTCGAGAGCTGCGAGGCGGCACAAACGAGGCGAAACATCCCCAGCGTGGGAACCGACCAGGGTTTCCATCAGGGGCTATCGAGTTTCTTGGATCATTAATCAAGCGGAGCCATAAACGCCGAAGCAGGGGTGCCTTGTGAATATTGATCACGCTAATGTATTGGAGGGTTTGACGCAGTTCCTTGCCTCTGACACGCCAAGCTCCGAGAAAATGAGAGATGTACTCTTTGCTAAAAGTTTTGATCGTGTTTGTCGACTCAGACAGGGTAAATGATAAAACACGAGCCCACTAGGGCCCTCCTACTCCTGGGAACAGCTGCCAATTTGCAATGTGTTCAAACTCACTGCAGTGGGCAGCCATTAGCTAGACATAACCCGCCTCCACTTATCCGTGCGGCCACTCCCCACGCACCCCAGATTGGCCATTCGGGCCAGCTGGCCGACCCAGCTGCGGCCGGCGCCACGGGAGGGCCATCAGCCGGCGAGGCCCAGCCCCGGCACCGGCGACCAGGTGGGCAGGACCGGGCCCGACCGGGCCTCTGTTGTGCCGCGGCTGCGCTGCGTGCGGAGACGCGGCCGCTGATGAGGGCTGGCCTGACCGAGCCGCCGGCCGCGCTCGCCGCCGCCGCGCCGCCTGCATATTGATAAGCCGGCGGCCGGCTGCTGGCCCCGGTGGCCGCCAAAATCCGTGTCAAGCCGGGCGCTGGGAGGCCGACCGCGACCGCGAGGAGAGGAGCCGGCCAAGGAGTACCAGTGGCGCCGCGGTGCGCCAGCTCTCAGAGAAAGCCGGCGCACTGCGGACAGCCGACCGGTGAAAGGGCCGCGGGCCGGCTCGGCCCGGCGGCGCTCTGTGCAATATCGTTGCCTGCTTACCTCGTCACAACTCCGGCTGGCAGCAGGGTAGGGACATGGCGCGCTGGCCGTCTGTCACAACTGGCACTGACACGTGCGCCCGACCGAGGCCGGCGCGCGACTGGCTGCCGGCGCTGCGCCCAGCCACTTCGCGGTGTCGCCAAGGGTGCTGCCGACTGCTCGTGCTAGCGGCACACGACGGGTCGCAGTCTCCGACGCGGCGCGCGGTTACACTGCGGACGAGCGTTGTCGTCTCTGCCTGTAGCGCGCGGCGGTGCGGTCGTGCCGGCGGCGCGGACGGGCGGCGACTGGCCGTCTGCGGGCGGCGCGGCCGGCTATACCGGCGCGCGCCAAGGTCCCGACGACGGGCCGCCCCCGGCCGCCGCGCCGCCGCCGCCGCCGCCGCCGCCGCCCGGCAGACCGGCCGAGCGGGCGCCGCCGCGCGGGTCCGGCGCGTCAGCCGACCGCGCAGACACCGGCCCGGCCACCAGCCGACACGGACGCGGAGGCGACGCCAGGTCTGGCGGATTACCACCGGCGTGGCGATTGGCCGAACGCCTTCGTCAACGTGTTGCATTATTTCGGCGGTGGCGCGGAGTTGTTGTCGCTGCCTTGCTGTGCATGCATTCGAAGCGTCTTCGCCAGCCAGCCAGCAAGCGCAGGCGAATGGCCTGGTCTGCGGGACACTCGGCTCCTCGGGGGTCAGACTGCCGGCCAGTCCACGTAACCGGATCCGGGCAGCTCTGTAAGCCTCCAACTGGAGCACTGGAACCGATTCTCATCTCTCAATGGTTTCATCGCTCATGTATATGGGGTTTTGCTTTGGGAGTCTGCACGCAGATGCGTGCACCACCTGATACTGCACTTCGCCACATTGAAATGATCACTACGATCGCTGGGCGAAATGGGAGAACCTCGGGAGGCCACACGATCGTAAAACTATCCCAAAGTGTTGATTCACTTAAGCTTTAAACATTGAACTGACGTGATCGCGCAGCACTTGACGGCCTATTTGGTCAATCTCGCCATGAATTGGACCCTAAAACTTCATCTTTGCGCATGAATATGTATATATATATATATATATATATATATATATATATATATATATATATATAGGTGTGTGTGTGTGTGTGTGTGTGTGTGTGTGTGTGTGTGTGTGTGTGTGTGTGTGTGTGTGTGTGTGTGTGTGTGTGTGTGTGTGTGTGTGTGTGTGTGTGTGTGTGTGTGTGTGTGTGTGTGTGTGTGTGTGTGTGTGTGTGTGTGTGTGTGTGTGTGTGTGTGTGTGTGTGTGTGGTGTGTGTGTGTGTGTGTGTGTGTGTGTGTGTGTGTGTGTGTGTGTGTGTGTGTGTGTGTGTGTGTGTGTGTGTGTTGTGTGTGTGTGTGTGTGTGTGTGTGTGTGTGTGTGTGTGTGTGAAACAAACTTGCTTTTGTACAGTCAGCATACATTCATCCGCCCAAGTTTTAGCGTGTATCCTTCAGTGGCAAAAGTTTTTTGCGGAAATCAGTACTTGTCTTTTGTCTTTTTCACTTTTTGTGTCGATAGTTCATCATAGCCAGGTAGTAGCCTCAAGGCTGCGCGAAGGCAACGACACACTCGAAAGGAGACTCACCCAGTCGCATTGCGTTAAGTTCTTAAAATTAAAAGGTGAATTGTCTTTGGAGACTCTAGTCATGCATTCCAGGCTTCATATCACAATGCGCGTAATCACCCTACTAATTTTGTTTTAAATTTCGGGCATTTCCTGTCCAAACGGACGACGGAATATTAGGAGCATAGTCTTTCATGCACTTGCTATGCTTTGCAGGATGCTTAGAACAACAATGGATTTAGACCAACGCTGCTGGTCTTATCTTGACTATAAATATGACATTAATCTCGATATTCTCAAAATTTATTGTCACTGTACAGACGGCTCAGCTGATGGTCCTCGCCCAAATCAAAGCAAATGTCAAAACACTCCTTTTTGTTGCTTAAGAAAATGGCGTTTAGCTGCTATGGCTTGACTATTCTGTGAACTAATCGACGTACTGTACCTATAACTAGCAAGACATTTGACCCTGATTAGCAGTTTTCATTGTACGGTGAATACCTGTAAAACTTTGACCGAAGACGCCCACAAAAATGTTCCGGCCCCGTTTACAGAATATTTACGATGCTGTTATGATGTCCAATGATCTGTCGCATGCGAAAGAACTGCATCAGCGGTATTTATTTTATACATTGCTCATAATGCTCGTGTTTAAGTTAAGACACATGAGACCGATCTAAATACACGGATATAGGAAGTCTTTTTCATGGCCACCTTCATAAGTTTGGCGTCCATACATACGAACAGAAGCAGGAACAGTTCATGCGGTCCAACGTCAGGGAACAATATGTCACTGTTGAAGTGAGACAGAAACCTTTTCGAATCATACATCATTTTGTCAGTGGTTGGTGTTGAGAAATGCATTACTAGCAAACAGCCTGTTTGGTCAATTATCAGGTGTAGTTCAATTCAATGTCATTTAGATAACGCAGCAAAATAACGCATCGGCATTTACAGTTCACTCCAACGAGACGCTGCGCATACGATTCAAACAATTTTATGTTGCCTTGTCCTGAGGTAGTGATGTACTTTCCCTACAAAATTGCTTTTCCCACTCTCATTGTCCCTTGTCCTTCCCATATTAATAGTTCTGCACAAATTTGTATCTTCTCTCACCGCATCTCTGCATACTAGTGCAACAATAGCAGCCGAGAATGCTACGTATGAGGAAATATAACTGGATTCATTGCTCCACCCGTTCTTCACGACTGCAACAGTGACAAAACATGCAAGTTACAAAAAGGGGACACAGATGGACAGTACTGATCATCACTGCACATACACCGATTATAACGCAGTGACTTGTCAGAATAGCCTTGTAGATTACTTGCAGATTATTCCCTGGCCCGCTACAAACCAGCAGCTGGCTTTCTAACCTTCAACGGCACGATGCAATCACATCGTCACCAAACATGGGCTGCCGTTGAATAATGAACGTACGCTTCCGAGACCTTAAGAAGCTCCCGGTGACGTCACTGTAGTGGGCCTTAAACGCTCAGTGAACTTGAAACGCGATGCACCCGCGATCGCTTGATCACTTGAGACTTGCATTGATACCAAACAGACTGCCATATATTAAGCGTTGAATAGGCTCACCACACCCTCAGAAAGTGAACGCCACGAACGACGTCACTGTGACGCGGCTGGATGACTGGCTCGTGCAGATCGGGCATTCCAGTGACGTACACTCGCAGACAGACGTGCGTTAATGACAGTCTAAGGCTGTGGCCACGAGCTGCACTTTGGCAGTGAGCCAAGGCGCCAGTTAGAATTGGAGATGAAAACTGAGTTCTTCCAGCCAACACAATGATGCAAAATAGCAATGGAACTTCAGTGGAATAAGCCTAAATGGAATAATATGTCCTGGAGCTTCTCCTGTAATGTTCATGCCCAACGTGTGTGGGCGATTACCGTCTCAGTTCATGTAGAGAGGCGGTGTGAGTGACCGGCTCTACACCAGAGGAATAATCTATTGGAATTTCGAGCTTTCGACCAAAAAAAAACTTCTGACAAATATTCAATAATTTATACTAACTTATGCATCATGGTGCGCTGGATATAACTATATACCCGCATATGACTGTTGTTGGCAGACAACAGGGGCAATAGCAAAACAATGAAACAAATAGGCCCCACCCGATTTGTCATGTGTTTTATGACGCCACCAATGAGAGGAGAAAACGTTGTACTTGAATTATGCGTAAATAGATAGCCCTTATTCGACCGTCGGAGGATGGTGCATATCAAACGCGTTAACCTTGAAAAATTTTTACATACTAGCGTAGAATTGGTTTATTCTTTAAATGGATTCTGCAATACCACTTTGAGAGTCACGTTGTCGCCCCTTTGTGGCGTCACCGTTGATAACGCGCGCTCGAAAAGCGTTCGCGGAGTCTTTCCTTAAAAGAAAAGGCTGATCGAGGTCATTGAAGCTCAGTGACTTCATTTGACTTAGTTACTTAAATAAGAAGTTTGTGGCGTCACTGTGATCAGGTAATTTCAACTGAGCGTGACAAAAACTACCGCGTTAAGCAAGTTTTTTAGCCAAGGACCGTTTCGTTTTCACCTTGACCTGTTCTTCATGCCTGGCCCAAAGGTCATTAAAGTTAGTTGCGGTCCTGTTTTTATACCAACAAATTGGCAATTCCATTGTCAACAGCTGTGTAAAGTTTGGCGCTGCTACACCGCACATTTGGGAGTTGCCCTTAAAAAATATTTGAATCGGACTGACCCCTTCCCGGGCCAGTGTAAAAGACGCAGAAGAGAGGAAACAACTGAAGTGTATTTGGCCGAGCCGGTCGTCAAGCGGGTGCGGCTGGTTACGTTAGCAGCGGACGCTTGCGGGATGCAGGGCTAGCAGCTGGTAAGGCTCGATCATCCACCTCGTCATACCTCGAGGCCATTCGTTCGGTGACAGGCTCTTGGCTGGGAATGCTGATGACGGGAGTTTCTGGAAACGAAGCCGCCCTAGTGACGAACTATGTGTGGGTGTGACCGGCCCAGGCCATAAATCGTGTATGGACTAGGCCTTTTTGACCAGAAGATCCACCTTGACATCTCACATAAATCACGCCGATGCTTAATGGGTCTAAGAGGTCTGACTTCCACGAGCGCCAATGTCTTACGATGCCCCTGAACGCATCACATTCTCATGTGCTTCCGACGTTGTCACTGATGTCGATTGGAGCTTCGCAAGTGAAAGGCACCGGCATGTAGCTGCGGTTGTGTTTTGTAACACGGCCGAGTTATAGAACTACGTGTGGATCTTATGCCATATCACGACACCTTGTAGCAAACTCATTTTTCCTGGCGCGGTATTTTACCAACTCCTAAATGTGCTAGATGCGAAAAAAAACAGAAACTGACTGGTGCTCTCCAGGACCGGGCGGCGAACACACAATTGCCTCATATTTCGGTTCCCGCAGTGACTAGCAAGACACAGGTGATCAGTACCCTACTTTTTACAAAGTTAAGCCGCTTATGTGTCATCAATTGTCTCGTCAAATGTACCACAACCTATCCCATTATCCGCTACTAGTGCAGCATCCTGATCCACAGTACCCATGATTTATTGTTACGTGACTAATACAGTTTCCCAATGGAATCAGCTTGTCGGCACTCCGCTCGTTCGCACAGCGCTGGCGTAGTTATCACGGCGGGCAGCTTGTTTTGTCCATTGACCTTTGTGATGGAAATATGGTG